TTGAGAGTCCCTGCTTAAGCTTGAATAAACGACCCTTGTGTGCTTACATCGGAAACGGCCTCCTGGTGGTCTCTGGGACTTCACAATCTGGGCACAACAATACTATCTCATTTTAATCTTCACATCTCTTTATGTAACATTTTTAAAAAAGTCTTTTTGTACCTGAGCATAATGATGCATGCTTGTAATCTCAGCCTTTAAGAAGGCTGAGGCAGAAGGATCCCAAGTTCAATTCCACCTAGACAACTTAGTGAGACCCTGTCTCAAAGGGGGCTGAGGATGTCGCTCAGTATGAAGGCCCTGGGTTCAGTCCCCAGAAACACACACACACACACACACACACACACACACACACACACACACACACACGATCACCTCACTGCTGCCACTGCCTGCCCAGCCTAACTAAAGCACCCTTTTCCCTACATGCTTTCCTCTTTACTTCTTTTATTTTCTGTGCCTCAGTTAACATTATCATGATTTGACATCATCTTCTGGGCTGTTGCTGTTTTGAAGTCTGTAAGCTATTCCATGTGCCAGGCTCTGTGCTGAATTTGACCTCCATCATTTAATAAAATAGTCACAGCAGACTTATGAAGTCAGTGTCACTTTTATTCCTGTTTTATCTGTGCAGAAACTAAAGTTTTCAGAGTTTCACTTTTCCAAATCAAACAGCAGTAGTCACTCTAGTAGGAGAGTTCAGATTTTTGGGGGGGAGGGGGTTTGAGGCAGGGTCTTCCTTTGCAGTTCAGGCTGGCCCAGAACTCAAGGTGATCCTCCTGCCTCAGCCTCCTGAGTGCTAGGATTATAGGCGAGCACCACCAGGCCCAGCTGGAGAGTTCAGATTTTTGACTGCCACAGCCACACCTTTAAGTACAACTTTTCAGATCTGTTACCAATGTTTGACTCTGACATGGGTTCTTTTTCCCTCTGGGAACTGTGGAACCAATAACAAGACCAAGTGCCAACTGAATGGCAAAGAAGAATTTTATTCTTAGCCAAGAACGGGTGGTGAAAAGCAGAGTGATGCAGGCTGTAATTCCAGCATTTGGGAGGCTGAAGCAAAAGGATTTCAAGTTCAAGACCAGCCTGGGCTACACAACAAGACCCTGTCTCAAAACTAATGATAAGAAGAAAAATGGAGGATGAAACTCACAAAGTAACCCAGGCACTGTTATCCCAGCACTTGGGAAGTTGAGGAAGGAGAATCTAGAGTCTGAGGCCACCCTGAGCTATATTGAGACCTTAACTAAAAAAAAAAAAAAAAGCCCTCACAAATCAGTTTTTCAACCCTTTAAGAGTTGAGAGATTATAGAGAAATAATGGAAGTCAGAAAGAGGGATAAGCTAATAAAGGGGAGGAATGTTCACCTCTTTTCTGGGAATTGGTGGAGACTTTCTGGGAATCCAGGCAAGCCCTAGCCCTCCTTTCAAGGCCAACTGTTGTGGCACTAGGCCTGTGCGTCATTCAATCTGCAGACAGGATTGTAATGGAGACAGATGCCCTCTGGTGGTTACCTTGCAGCCATTTTAGATTCAACCAGTTTCAACTGGAAGGGGAACCTTAAAGATAAGCAAGATTAAAATTATGTCCTTGAACGGGTCGCCGCGGGACATCTGCTCCTGAAGCTCCTGCAGCTCCTTCCGGGTGCCGATGGTCTGCTGGTTCCGGACATACTCCGACAGCTCCCTCAAACCCGCCTCGGTGAAGTACTTCATGAAGTGCTCCATGCTCTGCTTATTGGCAGGAAAAAGTTCTATCAGCCTGCTGTCCACGCTGACTTTCCGAAGGCTTGCAGCCATCGCGTTGATGCCTTTCTCCTTGATCCATGATTTGAAGAGCTCCACAGCAAACGCTGCTGAAACCCCTCCTTTCACCAGATTCTCGCTGTAGAGGCCGATGAGGATAGGCGCCTTGAGTGTCCCTTTAGCCAGCAGCACGCCCGTCAACATGGCCAACTTGTTCCGCTCTGACTCGGAGAAACCCTTTAAGAACAGCAGCAGCTTTTTCACCACATCTTCAAAGCCTTTCTCCAGGTATTTGTAGCACCTGATTAACTTGTTAAAAACTTGCGCTAACGCCTGCATGGTCTCCAGGTCCTCCTGTGTTGCGAATACGCAGACGTCTGTCCGCATTGAGTCGTAGGCCAGGGCGCCACCCAGGGCCAGCATTCCACCAGCCCCCAAGATGTCAAAGGGCGTTTCTGCCTAGGCGGTAGTCAAGTTTTGTTCCGGAAGCATCGAGAAGCTTAGCTACCTCTTCCAAATCAGTACCAGTTTCAGATAAGCCCTGAATAATACAGTCTTGAAACTGAGTAGGGTCAAACCTCTCTTTTTCATCTCTTTTTCTAGTTTTAAAACCCTGGCCTGATAGCGTTGGCTTTTGCTGCTTTTGATTATTCATAAAAGACACCCGAATTTAAGGCCAAAGAAAAGAGCCAGAAATCCCTGGGGCAGCGAAAAGTGAGGCGAGGTCTCCTCTGCGACCGGAACTAACGCGAAGGAGGAAGGAAGCGGGAAGAGATGTCTGCCTTCTCATTTCCGTCTGCTCTTGCTGCTGCCCATATGTGGGTCTTGGGGTTGTGTTCACAGTGACAACTGTGAAGGGTCTTCGCTCACAAGGAAATGGCCTGGGACCGAGGCCACCGGAGACTGAGCAGAAGTCGACCCTTTTCAAGGTGCCATTCTCCTTAGCCAAGACTGTGGTATTTAAAACAAGTCTTGACAGAGGAATATGTGATACAATTTGAAATAAAGGTATAATAACCTTAATAAGAGCTTTAGAGCTGATTACATTGTGAATGGAGTAAAATTGTTAAATGAATAACTTAATTTTTCATGCACCGGCACAAATGTATTCACTAGATTTCCACGTAGTGATCTGCTTTACTTTGTAATTTATAGTCCTTAAAAGACTTTTTTTAAAAAATAAAATTCATCCTTACAAAAAAAAAAAAAAAAAGGAAGATTAGGGCAGGGGAGATATTCAGAGAGGCCAGCAGGCATTTCTTGACTAGGGTGAGGTAACATATCCATGAATTCAACTAACTGACCATCAAAGATATTGAAAAGGCTGGGTACTCACCCACATTCCCAGCACTTGGAGGCTGAGGCAGGAGGATCCACAATTAAGGCCAGCCCAGGCTACATAATGAGACTCTGTCTTTAAAAAAAACAAAATGAAATAAAACAAAAGCAGGCAGGGGATTTACCTCAATGGTTCCACCCCTGCCTCAAAAGAGCAAGGTCCCGAATTCAATGCCTGCTACCAAAAACAAAAACAAGAATCACAAAGAAAGGTAGATAGATAGATGGACAGAGATCCAGCTCATGGTACACACCTGTAATCCCAGCAATATGGAGGCTTGGACAGGAAGATTACAAATTCAAGCCCATCCTGGGCAATTTAGCTACTTTCCAAGACCCTGTCTCAAAATAAAAAAATTTTAAAAGGGCTGGAGATGTAGTGCAGTGCAAAGACCCTGGGTTCAGGCTCTAGTATCATTAAAAAACAACAACAACAACAACAACAAAGATAGATTAAAAACCCTGCACCACTTGTCCTGAACATCTACAGGCTTTTAAACTTGTCATTATCTCCCAAATAACATTGGTAAAACTACTTAGACATGTACGTTGTATTAAGTGTTACAGACAATGGTTTAAAGTACACAGGAGGATGAGTGTCCATGCAAATATAGGACCATTTTATAGGAGGGACTTGAGCATCTACAGATTTTGGTATCCAAGGAGAGTTACAGTACACTCCAAGGACAGGGAAGGATGAGTTTGGGGTACTGATGTCCTAAAAGCACTGTATGGTTGCTTTTTAGGACAGGGTACTAGATTTTTGTTTGTTTGTTTCTTGGGCTTGGCTTTTTTGTGTGTGTGGGTTTTTTTTAACACTGGCCTCAAATTTGCAACTTTCTATTCTCAGCCTCCCAAGTGCTAGGATGACAAGCATGTACCACAACACCAAGTTAAATTTTTTAAATTACTATTTGTAGGAAAGCATGGTGATACATGCCTGTAACCTCAGCTACTTAGAAAGCTGATGCAGGAGGACCCCAAGTTCAAGGTTAGTCTGGGCATATATGCTAAATCCCCTCTAAAAATAAAAAATAAAAAAGGACTGGGGATGTAGCTCAGTACAAAGGGCTTGAATTCGGTCCCCAGTACCACTAACAACAACAACAAAGCCAAGCATGGTAGCACAAGCCTGTAATCCCAGCACTGGGTAGGCTGAGTCAGGAGGATCACCACAAGTTCAAGGCTAGCCTGGGCTACACAGCGAGTTCAAGACCAGCATGAACTACATAGTGATAACCCTGTTTCAAAGAAAAACAAAACAACAAGAAGAAGAAAATTAAAAAAGGCTGGGACTGTAGCTCAGTGCTCCTTCTGTTCAATGCTCAGGATTTCCAAAAGAATACACATATAATATGTATGTATGTATTTAGAATTAATGGGCAAACTTAACACCTTTTAAGAAAATTGATGACCAACCACTTGGGTCCATTCACTCAGGTTCACTGGCTGGCTGCTGACCAAATCAAAGGAGGCCATTTATTTTGGTGGAATGAAAAAAAAGATGTATTCAAAGCTAGCGCTGAGGAGATGGACGGCCCATTTGCTTCAAATCACCACCTCACCATGTACAGGTGAAGAAGGGTCTTTTACAGCAAGGAACAGAGGGGAGAAGGAATACATTGAGACACTAGACAATTCCGGCCTTGGTTTTCCTCTCCGGGACCCCTATGCCAGCATCTGCATATGTTTGCTGTTGAGAGGAAGGGATACAGTGACGCCCTTGGCACGATGAAGTTCAGAGAAGTCACTTGTATCTAAAGAAAAAAATTCCTACTTTGAAAGCTCCATTTTGCCTTGCTGGTAACTATTCCCCTTTGCTTTAATCCTGCCCTCGGTGTCTGGCTAGCTGGTGTTGGACTGATACACAGGCTTCATAAAAGCAGCTGGAGCCCGAGCAAATACAAGCTGAATGCTTGAGCCTGCAAAAGTATCAATAAAGACTGTGAGGTCAGAGACAAAAACCCAGAGTCAAGGCTGAATCAGCCCGCTGCAGACAGGCAGGTCTGCGGATCCCCTACCGAGGTGACGAGTGGAGTGGAACACGCTGAATCAGCCGCTGCAGACAGGTAGGTCTGTGGACGCCCTACTGAGGTCCTCAGTCGCGCTGAACACGCTGAATCGGCCCGCTGGACACCCCCCACCCCCCCGCTCCTCTGTACAGCCACCTGGTTCCACACTACAAAGACGCAGAGGACACTGGACCACCAAACCACACTACTGGGTCCCGCCACTCCCAGCCCAGAGGTAGGGGCTTCTGAGCTGCCGTCCCACTATTCCTGGTCCAGAGGAAGGGGCTTCCCGGCCACCATCCCTCCTGCTGCTCCCAGCCCAGAGGAAAGGGCTTTTGGGCCACCATCCCTACCACCACTCACAGCCCCTGTCCCACCTCTTCCAGCTCAGAGGAGGTAATCCGTGCAGGCGCTAACAGCAGCCCCCTGCCCCCCCCAGTCGAAATGAGAAAACACATAAATA